TACTATAAATAGAAAGAAATTAATTGGTCAACTTAATATTCATAGAAAGAAAATCAGGCCGGCATGGTGGCATGCCTGTATCCCAGCTACTTGGGAGGCTGAAGCAGTAGGATTGCTTGAGCCCAGGAGTTTGAGGTTGCTGTGAGCTAGGTTGATGCCACGGCACTCACTCTAGCCTGGGCAACAATGCAAGACTCTGTCTCAAAATAATAATAATAATAATAAAAAAATAATAATTACTAATCAATTGACCTATTATAAGATGAGTTTCCACACAAACTTCCCTTTCTGTTTAACACTATGGTCTATCCATAACTTTCATGCCAAGGTCTTAGTCTCTCTTTCTTTGGAAAATTAAAAATGTGGACAAAACCTAATGTGAGCAAGTATGTGGGGAAATGGGAATTTTCTTGTACTGCTTGTTGGTAGCATGGAAATTAGTGTAACCTCTGGATGGTAGTTTGAAAATTTGTTTGGAAATGTAAAAACATGCATTGGAAATGTAAAATGTGCATTGGAAATGTAAAATGTATAATTTCCTCTAAAGTTCATATTGTCTAGGGGGAGGAAATAACTGAGGAGGAAGTTTATCTGTTTTAATATAGTGGAGACTGTTAACACTATTGCAGATAGTGGTTTAAAATATACAAAATATGAACATCAAAAGATCTTAGGAAACATTTTTTCAAGAGCAACCCTCTATGTAATTGTGATCCTCTACATAAATGAGGGATATCAATCCATAATATCATAAGAAAAATGATGCTAAAAAGTCCCTGATGTGATTCAGACTTTTTTTCAGTCTAAGTACTACAGTGCTGCAATTGTAACCTAGATTTCAAAAAATAAATTCATTTTCATAATTTTAAGTTTTATTTATTTATTTATTTATTTTTTTTTTTGAGACAGAGTCTCGCTTTCTTGCCTAGGCTAGAGTGAGTGCCGTGGTGTCAGCCTAGCTCACAGCACCTCAAACCCTGGGTCAAGCGATCCTCCTGCCTCAGCTCCCGAGTAGCTGGGACTACAGGCACGAGCCACCATGCCCGGCTGATTTTATATTATATATTAGTTGGCCATTAATTTCTTTCTATTTTTATGGTAGGAGACGTGGCGCGTCTCGCTCAGGCTGGTTTTGAACTCCTGACCTTGAGCAATCCGCCCGCCTCGGCCTCCCAGAGTGCTAGGATTACAGGCATGAGCCACCTCGCCCAGCCTTAAGTTTTATTTTTTAAGTGTCTTCCCCCAATATCTCCATCATTCTTTCCATATTTACTATAAAATACTATAACAATTATGCTCTGATAATAAATTATCCCCATTATACAAAAGTAAATGGGGATTTAGAGAGTTTAAGAAATGTGCCTGAGACTACAAGACGAAGGATTCAGCCCTTAGTCCAAAAGTGGACCTCAATGTGATCATCCTTCCATTATAATGTGATCTTCTGTTAGTAAGGACCCTCTGCCCTGCCTGCCCCCTTGTTCTGTCCTGTCCTCTGCTTCTAAGCCAGGACAGTTTACTTCACACCATGGAAAACAGATCTGTTGTCCCTGCGTCCGACTTTCCCTCCAGGCTCAGACCACAGTAGAAGCATCTACTAGCCCCCAGGAGTATGAGTTAGACATTCCCCTCTGGCCTATTCCTCTAGTCCCAGGAATTTCAACATCTAAAAAACAGAAATAAACAGGTAAAGCAGATAGTAGCTGTTGGGGTAGGACTTGTGCTTAGGGTCACTGAAAAGGGTGGCCATAAGAAAAGTAAAAAGATCCCTGCTCCAAAAGATGAGAGGTATAAAAAGGAAACTTCCCTTTAAATCCTTCTTAGTTTATAGATTTTCTGAGGACTGACACCATCTCTGAAGAGATAATTGTAACAATTCTAATAGACTTTGAAGCACAACCATAATCATTTATAAAGAAGTCAACTTTTTTTACATATTCTATATTAAATAGGCTAATAAATGGCAGAGGAAAAACCAAAATATAGGAGCTCTAGTACAGATCCCAAAACCAAACTGTACACACATACGACTTCTAGTTAAAAATACAGGTGGTATCATTAAAATTCCTTTTAAAACTGAAAAGTAGGCCTGGCGCGGTGGCTCACACCTGTAATCCTAGTACTCTGGGAGGCCGTGGCAGGTGGATCGTTTGTGCTCAGGAATTCAAGACTAGCCTGAGCAAGAGCCAGACCCCATCTCTACTAAAAAAGTAGAAAGAAATTAGCTGGACAACTAAAAGCATATATATATATATAAATTAGCTGGACAACTAAAAGTATATATATATAAAAAATTAGCCGGGCATGGTGGTGCATGCCTGTCGTCCCAGCTACTCGGGAGGCTGAGGCAGGAGGATTGCTTGAGCCCAGGAGTTTGAGGTTGTTGTGAGCTAGGCTGCCGCCATGGCACTCTAGCCCAGGAAAGAGAGTCAGACTCTGTCTCAAAACAACAACAACAACAACAACAACAACAACAACAAAAACCCCAAAGAAGCAAATATATAACTGTTTCAGTTATCTATGGCTGTGTAACAAATTACTCCAAAAGTAAGTGGGTTAAAACAACAAATATTTATTGTCTTACTGTTTCTGTGGCCAGGAATCTGGGCTTGGCTTAGCTGGGTTTGCTGGCTCAGGGTCTGGTTTCACAAGGCTGCCGTGTAAGTGTCAGGTGGGGCTGCAGTCATCTCAAGGCTCTACTGGGAGACAGTCTGCTTCCGAGCTCACTCGTGTGGTTGTTGGCAGGATTCAGTTCCTCACAGGTCGTTGGACTGAGGGCTCTGTTGGAGTGAGGGCTGTTGACTGGAGATATCTCTCGGTGCCTTGCTATGTGGACCTCTCATAAGGCAGGTCACAACACAGCAGCTGGCTTACACCAAAGTGAGCCAGAGAGGACAGACAATATGGAAGCCGGAACCTTTTTGTGACCTAATCATGGAAATCACACCCCATCACTTTTGCTTGGTTTTTGAACCAAGTTACTAGACAGGGGAATTCCACAAGGCAGGAATACCAGAAGGTGAGGATCATTGGGAGCCGTCTTAGACGCTACCTACCACGTTATTATATCACAAATTCACTTTTTACTATTTTGATTATATTAATATAATCAATTTCCTTTGTAACCCTAGGTAGTTTATTGTATGCATTTAAGAACGCTATTTTTTTTTTTTTGAGACAGAGTCTCACTCTGTTGCCCAGGCTAAAGTGAGTGCTGTGGCGTCAGGTTAGCTCACAGCAACCTCAAACTCCTGGGCTCAAGCAATCCTCCGCCTCAGCCTCCTGAGTAGCTGGGACTACAGGCATGTGCCACCATGCCCAGCTAATTTTTTTCTATATATTTTTAGTTGTCCAGATAATTTCTTTCTATTTTTAGTAGAGACGGGGGTCTCGCTCTTGCTCAGGCTGGTCTCGAACACCTGAGCTCAAACCTCAAAGGATCCACCCGCCTTGGCCCCAGCCTCCCAGAGTGCTAGGAAGAATGCTATTTTGAAAAGGGAGTCATAGACTTCACCAATTTTCCAAAAGAGTACATAGCTCTCATTTGTTTTAGTTGAGGTACCTTCAACAACCTCCTGGGGAATTCGTTTACAATGATCTCAACAGAAACTACAGGTCAAAGGTTTAGCTTACCCCATATTAACCTAGATTCATGCTTTATACTAGTTCTTATTACCCTATGCCGTGTAAAAAGCATGGCACATTTGATAACATAAATTTGCTATAGAACAAACCATAAACTGTTCTCAATTCTACCCACTTGCAGTGATATGTGTATGCGTGCAGTTACAGGGAGGGTGTGTGTGTCAAGCTTGTTTGTTTACAATTAAACCTCTTATGCTTGTATGTGACAACTGTTATTCGAGCCTCAAAAAGACTTATATAAGTGGACCTCATGTCCCAAGAATATACTAATTACCATACTAGTGTTTTTCCCACTACTAAGCTATGTATGAAAAAGCATAATGTGTAAGAAAAGAGAGGGAAACAGTGTCACGATTCTTTCCTAAGTCTTCTGTATGTGTGACACCTGCTTTCCAAGAACCTGAAGATAATGTCTGGCGTTTGGAAATGATATTTTCTGCAAGCACAGTACCAGCCTCATATATTGTCTTACTAGTCTAAAAGCTTAGGGTATTTTACAAAACCTATAATATTCAGACTGAGGATAAATTTGTCAATAATAATGGGGAATGATTCTCTTATGTAGCTTGCTCAAAGGCCAGTCTTATCCTCAAATGCAAATTACATCATCTTCCCAAAGCCATCCCTTCTGAGTCATCCTACAGGGAGGTGATTTTCCACATAATTCTCAGATCCTAATGATAAAGATGCTGAGTACTGTCAGTTATTTTACATTTTCTAAGAAAACCCAAACAAGTGTTTTGTGGCCTTTCCAAATCCTAGTTCCTCTCAAGTCTCTGGAGTCCAGTCATGGTGAAACGAAGAGTCAAGGAAGCTGGGTGGCTTCTAGTTCCCACGGCTACTGACTAAGCAACTTGATCAGGTCATCCGTCTTTGTTGACCACAGCTTCCTAATCTGCAGAATTGGTGGGTGCGTGATTCTTTCTAAGCCCCCTTCCATTTCTAACATTCTTTGCATTGCATTGTGAAGTTAGTGAGGAAAACTGTGATGGCATTTAGGATGTGTGACTATTGTCGCAACACACCGGGCCATTCTCAAAGGAGGCCTGAACCAGTTTTGAGCAAAAAAGGGCAGTGAGGTGAGGCTGGTGAGAGAGGGAAAGGTTGTGACAGCCCAGCCAACTCCCTGAACCAGTCAGGACTTCACGAGGCGGAGGTGGGTGGGGCTGGGGCCGGGGCCCGGCGTTGACGACAGAAGGCCACTTCCGGCTGGGGTGCGTATGACGTCAGGGCGAGTCGGACCGGCCCAGCCACCGAGAAGCCGAGGAGGGAGGGCTCGCGAGAGTTCAGGGAGGCCGCCCCGAGATTCCGGCGCGGCCGCGGGTCCCACCTCCCGGGGGCGGGGCGAGGGCGGAGCGGGGAGAAGGGAGCGGACGGGCGCCAGGCCGGCTGCGGTCCGTGCGGAGGCTGAGCCGGCCGCGGGCGCGACCGGAGGCAGGTGAGTGCGCGGATGCGGCGCTCGGGCGGGGGGGCCCCGGCTCGCGGCACCAGCTCCAACTCTGCGGGCAGGAGCAGCGGGAGATCTTAGGCGTCTTTGGGTGTCCAGGGGAAGCTGGGCTAATTTCGGGGCTGGAAATGTCTCCGGCGGAGCTGCGGCGACGGCCTTGGCCCTCTAATTCCCCGGGGTACTACTGGCCCCGTGTGTCCGGAGAGGTAGCTTGGAGCCCGGGGAGGAATCTTTGTCCTTCCCTGCGCCTTTCCCCGTCCCCTCCTCGGCCCCGAGCACCCTGCCCCGGGTCCCTGCCTGGGCTCCATAAACAATAACAAACGTCGCGGTCCTCTCCCGGTGGCCCCTGCTCTCCTGTCCCGTGCCCTCCAGCCGATGTGACCGGGAGGGAGGATTCCAGGCATGGCTCTGCAATCGTGGGGGCTGTTTTGAGTACCATGCCTAAAAACTGATGCGTCAGATTGGCCAAACATTTGTCTGAGAGACACAGGAGAGCCTCCCAGCTCCCAGCAGCCACGGAGTGTTCAGAAGCAGCCCCAAAACCCGTCCCTACCCTCGGAACGGCGGACCCTTCCCTGCAGCATCCTTTTCTCCCACTCCTCCTCTTTTCACTTTCAGCGTCGGGGACATCCGAGTGGTGGGTTGGGACGGGAACGGGGAAGACTATACCCGATTCGGCAGGGTACGTTTCACCTTTAAAAAAAGTTGCCAGTTTGACAGCAAAACTTTATTTTCAAAACCAGTGGCCTCCCGTTTCACGGGTGCTACTTTTTTGTGTTTTGTGGAATCGCTTTTCGGGGTTGCGAGTTTGGGAGGGATGATATAAAAAGACATGGGAGGCAGCGGAGGGGGAGGGCTAGTGTTGCTGGAAGTGGTGGCTTGTCCAAAAGTGTGATGCTGTTGTTCCTTACTTGATAAAATGCAGAACCAACACTGTTGCCTGTTTCACTTAACTTGTGGTGAGTTTTGATGGAAGCCACTTACTTGGAAATGGCCTGAGTATTAGCTTTGTTACTGCTAAAGTCTGAAGAAACAACTTTTAAGTTATGCCTCTAGGTTTGTAAAAGGGGGACTCAGGAATGAGAGAGAACTTGCTTTTTTTGGTGTGTTGTGTGGGGGCGCAGGAGCTTAAATTTGACAGGTTTTTCTACTTTTAAGGTAGGGTCTATTGTTCTTAAGTGCAGTTCTGCTTACCCAGTGTAGATTTTTGAAAGTTCTTTGTCTTAGTCATATATGCATATAGAATACTGGAAACCTCTTTGAATTCTGGCCTTTCTCTCTAAGACTCAGGATATGTAAAACAATTAAGTTTATTATACTCTCTCTCCAGTGGCTCAGAGGTATTGTGTGTGAATTAACTAACCACTCCTGTGACTCTTTGAGGGGAGAGAAATTAGTCCAAAATATGATGTTAAATTATGACATTTTCGTAATTTCGTTGCATAGGTTCATCAGAGTACTTTTATTTGAGAACTCCTGATCTCAAAAGAAGTACAATGAATGAAAAAAATTTTTGATTTAACTTCACTTAGCTTTGTTTTCATCTTGTTAAGATGGCTGATAATGTGTCCCATTTGGTTGGGATGTGTTTAGAATAAGAAGCAAAGTTGGGTGTAGTTTTGGTACTTTTTTGAAAGGCCTTGCCACTGGGAATGAAACAATTAGGCTTAGAAAAAAACCACATTAATTAGGAGCAATTTTTCTCTACACTTTTGGTTTTGAGTTTGTTTTAAAATAAGTCAAAGAATAGAGACTAAGATTATTTGTGCAAAAAAATAAGTGTCCTAGGTAGTTTTTACTCTAAAAATTAAATTTCTAAAGGTAGGACACTGTAAGGACAGAGGAAAAATTGTACTTTCTAGAAAATGATAACAAATCAGTGGACTCAGTACAGCTATTTGTTTTCAGAAAAGTTTTGCTTTTTCAAAGTAAGGGCAGCATCATGTTAGTGAAGTTGGGTAACATACTTTAGAAAGTGCTTTTGCGGTGATCTGGGATAAGTTGGAGGCTTTTTTTTTTTTTTTCCTTTTGGCACTTTTTTAAGAGGGAAAAAGAGGACACAAATCAAGCCAGAAAAAATTGCATCTCAATATTAACATTAAAATGATTTATTAAAATGATTTTATTTTACATAAATAGTGTAGGGTGAATCAAGCAAGCATATTGTCATCTAGCCTCCTTAGGATTGCATTATAATCAGCAGATGGGCATGTTATGATTAGGTTATACTCGACATGTGCAGAAATTATAATACTGTATTTTTATATTAAAAGCACTGTGGTCTTTTTGAATGAGATAATGAAAGCAAGGTTTTAAGACATTTAAAAATTAAAAAGATATCTTTGGTCAGTAGCTAAAAAAACATTAAGTGAATCCTCCTTTTCTCCCCCCATTCTCCCCCTAAATTTTTGTCTAACTCCTAAGAGAATATTTAGCAAGATATGACCAGTACTTGGGTGCATTGGTTACATAAGCCTTCTGTCTCCAGGTACAGGTTTGCTAATTGACAGGGTATTATTGTTCAGAATCTTTAGAGGAAGGGAAGTGAAAAGCAACAATGTTTGCTGCCCTTTTCACTCAGATGAACTCTGCTCTCTGTCCTCAAGGAGATGTAATCTAATGGGAGGGAAATATACTTGCCCAAATAACTATCATACAAAATGCATTTTATGAGGAAGCAAAGGTGGGAGGGATCAAATCCTCCTAGACCAATTAAGGAAGACTGGGTAGGAAAAGGCATTTGTGTAGATGGTTTGGGTGATCTAGTCATATGATAATGATGATAAGCAGACACTTTATACAATGCTGCCTGCTTGCTGCTAAACCCTACATGTACTGCTTATTTAGCTGGGTTTAATTCTCATAACAACTGCATGGAATAGGTATCTTTATTATCCCAATTTTGCAGCTGGAGTAATTGAGGTGCCAAGGTTAGATAGCTAGTCAGTGGTTGAAGCAGGATTTCATTGTGGACCTCCTGGCTTGTACCTGTATTGCTGTTCTTAAACACTATCCTTATTCTTCTCTCCCATTCATGTTGGTTTTTCTCAGGTCTATAGTTTCAAAGAATTGATTTGGGCAAATACATTTCTATGGCATCTAAATTTGGGGATCTGTTTTCTAGAAAGAGTTACAAAATAATGAAAACTGTGGTAAATAAGTTATTTTTGGCATGTTAGATATTTTAATTTATTTTTGTAAGATGTTTTTGGTGTGAATTCAATGTAACTATTGAGTGGGACTTTTGATAATTTAGCTTTATTACCTGTAAGTGCCCATAAGGATTTAGAAGTGGGCAGTTATATCTGTGTTAACTGCTTTGCCTAATGGAATGTTTGAATCGTTATTTATTTTGTCCTGTATTTTTTTTTTCTTTTTTCTTTTTTAAAGACAGAGTCTTTCTATGTTGCCCAGGCTAGACTTGAACTCCTGGGCTCCATCAGTCCTCCCACCTCAGCCTCTTGAGTAACTGGGAATACAAGCATGTTTCAGTGTGCCTGGCTTTGTCCTGTAATTTTTAAAACCACTTGGCACTGGGTATTTTTTGGATTGAATTATGAAGTTGGAATGTAGTTAATGATTGAATGTCAGTCCCAGCCCTTTTAGTTTCTATTTTCACAAGCAGCCATGCTTATAATGGCAGAAACAGTGTTTTGAATAGAGTGTTGTACATGTATAAAATGAGAGAAATTCCATCACTGATATTTTATGTTGGGGCAACTTTGAAAGTTCTTTGGGATTGTGAAATAAAAGATGCTATAGAAATTGACTGGGCCAGGTATAGGCCTACTCAGCACTGTAAATTATTGTTGAAAAAATGATCCAACTGATTTTACTTATTTATTTATTTATTTATTTATTTATTTATTTATTTATTTATTTATTAACAGCCAGACAGCCCAGCTTCATGAAGCAACTGATTTTATTTATGAAGTTTCAGGTATAGTCCACATTATCTAAGAATTGGAGCCCCAGTAAATACAATTGGATTTAAAGGTTAGAAAAAAGTCTATCTAGGCAGAGGATACAGAAGGTGAGCATAGGTACTGCCTGCTCTTTCCTAACTGTCTAGAAAGATCTTTAGCTCTTTTGTCAGTGCCCTTGATTAAACCATACTCTAAGCAGAGCTCCAGAGTCATAGTCTCTGTGAGCAAATGTAATAAGTGTTCTTTCATTGACTAAGCGGGGTAGGTTCTCAAAAACCCCTATAATAAGATAATTTATGGTTGATGAGCTTAAAGTCTAATGGGAAAAGTAGCAGAACTCAAGCCAGGATTTAAAGCACATATACTTACATTATTAAAAGAAGACAAAGATAGCAAAACAAATACAAACCAAAAAAAGGTTTTTTTAACAAATTAGTAATAGTGGTAGGCAAGCCATTTCCATTTACCATCCCTGATTGACAAAATCTTCAGGATCTTCAGCCCATAATTTCATGGAGATGCTCAAATATCAACTTTGCTTTGTTATATAAAATTTATAAGTTCCTCTAAATACAGGTTTGGTTTTGAAATTGTTCTTAGCAAAAAGGAATGTGAGTTGGTCCATCAAAGGGAGACCAGACAGACATACTCTTACCTCTTTGCTGATAGAAATCTTTTCCCACAATAGACCAGTTTTGTCTACATTAAAAATCCTCGGTGGCAAGTATCCTCCCTCTTAGATTATCTCTGCACAGATCTTAAGGAAGACCTTGGTGGTTACAGATCATATGGTGACCTGACCATTCACACTGAATATTGTATAAATTCAAACATGGCTCCAGCATTGGCAGTCGTCTGTGGGTTGTGATGGTAGCACTTGTACTATGCTTAGCTTTTAAATTTTTTTTTTTTTTTTTTTTTTTGAGACAGAGTCTCACTTTTGTTGCCCTGGCTAGAGTGAGTGCCGTGGCGTCAGCCTAGCTCACAGCAACCTCAAACTCCTGGGCTCAAGCGATCCTCCTGCCTCAGCCTCCCAAGTAGCTGGGACTACAGGCATGCGCCACC